TATGATACCTTACAGGAATTTAAGCGAACAATATGTAGCAAAAAATGCGAGCAGGAATTTTCTAACTTTGTTTCTCCTTAACGCACAGGTTTCATCGTTTGACACAAGGTGTGTCTTGTTCCCCGTATTCGATTTCTGCAAAAAAAACGATTTTTGGAAATTTGGTCTATACAGGAGTTTTTGACTCAGGCGACGAGATATGGGCATAAAACAATAAGCAGTCAAAATAATACAGTTTATACAGTAGTCTACAACTAACTAGCAAGCAAACAAGACATTTTGTTTTTAGAATTTCAAAGTAGGCCTACATGTGCATTGTACATGCACAAATAAGTTTTCAAAGACTAGATCTACATAGACATGAAGTTGACTAACTTACTCCTCCTACATGGGTAGATCTAAGCTTTATTAATTTGATTGTTTTTGAGAGAGCAAAGTTGAACATTGAGTACATGTTTGTATTGTTTAATTGTATTAACCTAGCATCTGCGTTTGTTGCCATTATATTGTCCAAAAGTTGCCACAAAAATGGAAAAAGTTGCCAAATATGATAATTTTCAAGCTTTCAACTCTCTGTGACGACAAATATAGCAATATGTTGATAGAGGTAACTTAATCTAAAGCACCAACATATCTTGTGTTCTGTTTCAAGCATCCAGAAGATTACTTGTAGCCACACAGAGTGTAAAAACGTGAAACATAAAAAGGTTTCCCAACAGAATGAAATCAAATTTAGAACAGAACAGAAAAAAACACTAAAATTAACAAATAGGGCTAAGGGCGTGTGTCCACCTATTCGAAGAGTGGCCGTTTTAACCCTATACGTGTGTTATTCAAGAAAAAGTGCTGGAAATTACATGTAAATTATGGAGTCACACATAATGGGTCTGACAGTATCAGCAATGAGTCTACATAACAAGAGGGGCCACTTTTCTCTTTGAGCCAATTAAAAAAGTGTCCTCAAAATTTGGTGGCGCCCTCTTCGCAAAAGCGCACCTTTTGTGAACAGACTTATCCTACTTGAGTTTTAAAAAATCAAAGTGAAACTAGCAAGTTTTTGAATGAATTTCGGAAGAACGCTTTTTTAAAATGGTTACGCTGACAAAAAACCTCTTCCAGAGGAAAGGGTGATTGTTTTCTTCGTTTAATTTGACTTTAGAATGAAAGGCGAGAGGTCATTAAAATATAAATAACCTAAAACTCCGCACTGAACGAACCCGAACTGCTGATGAACAGCAGCCGATCTGCGCCATAGAGTTACCTCCTTTTATTATTTTAAACTGTAGTGTACATATTTACTATCTTTGGTATCAGTACATGTTACACATATTCAATTTTGGTGGAGATACGCTCTAACATTTTTACGCATTTATTTTTTTTTTTTTTAATTTTTTTTTTTATATGTAGGAACAACATCAAATTTACTGATATTGACATTACGACAAAGATAGTGAATAATAGTGATGTACTAGATCTATCATTGATCACGATAAACACGACAAAGATAGTGAATAATAGTGATGTACTAGATCTATCATTGATCACGATAAACACGACAAAGATAGTGAATAATAGTGATGTACTAGATCTATCATTGATCACGATAAACACGACAAAGATAGTGAATAATAGTGATGTACTAGATCTATCATTGATCACGATAAACACGACAAAGATAGTGAATAATAGTGATGTACTAGATCTATCATTGATCACGATAAACACGACAAAGATAGTGAATAATAGTGATGTACTAGATCTATCATTGATCACGATAAACACGACAAAGATAGTGAATAATAGTGATGTACTAGATCTATCATTGATCACGATAAACACGACAAAGATAGTGAATAATAGTGATGTACTAGATCTATCATTGATCACGATAAACACGACAAAGATAGTGAATAATAGTTATGTACTAGATCTATCATTGATTGCGATAAACACGACAAAGATAGTGAATAATAGTTATGTACTAGATCTATCATTGATTGCGATAAACACGACAAAGATAGTGAATAATAGTTATGTACTAGATCTATCATTGATTGCGATAAACACGACAAAAATAGAAAGACGTCAGAAAAATTACCACAAAAATAAAATAATTAATAACACAACAGCAAATTAAAACCCAGCAAAGAGAGAAGAATAAAAGAGAAACAGCAATATAAATTGTATGTAATTTGTAATGTACAAAACTTTTTCCACATGAAATAATAACAAATAAACGTAGGGTCAACAAGTAGGAAAGAGATGAAGTGAAGAGGAAGTGAAAATAAACTTTCTTTCTAATCTAAAACCAAGGAGCTTTTAATCTCCTTGTCTAAAACTAAAAGTAAAATAGGTTCGGTTTCTTTTTTTTCGTTTTTTATACCCCGTTTTTGTTTTCGATTTTTTATTCCCCAGCGGTGTGGCTGTTGGCTTTTGCACAAATGCCCCCAAAAAATCGCGGTCGCCCTCGATAAATGCAGATGCTAGATTAACACTACTACTACTACTACTACTACTACTACTACTACTACTACTACTACTACTACTACTATCATCCGTTCATACATCGGCAGCATCCCTTTACACGGAGAAGATCGATAACATGCTCTTCGCTACTGTCCTCTGAAATATCTGTATTCTCCACTATCGCGCTCATTAGAGTGTACTCCTGCATACATGTACAGCCACGGCAACTGTAAGCGTGCCAACAGACATCAATGGGAAAATACTGCTGGTGTGAGGGAGTTTGTACGACTACCTTCTCCTCCCAGTCCGCATTCACTGCCACTGATGGGGTGTGAAATTTCCTCCGTGTCATACAGCACCCATGGTACATCCAGGTGGTCCCTCCTCCCCTAGTCGACCTCCGCATGCGAGCATCAATTCCTTCTGATCTTTTACTTCTACTGTAGCCATTTGTCCGAGCAGAATTTGGGGTCTTAACAAAAAAGGGGAAGGGACGTTGACACATGTAGGAGCACCTGAATTGCTGAGAACTCCACCTTCTCTGTGCTTCAATTGCAGGTTCTTTCAACTGGACTTTCCGCAGCTGTCTTTCAAAATTGACCTGTTCCTCCCGAGTGCGGAAATAACCTGGGAACTTTTCTACTAGATCTAGTGTCCGGCTGCGTTTCTCTTCCCTATTATCAGTCTCAGAAGACTCGGCTGTAGCGCAAAGTAGAGTCATCAGTGCCTGGGTACAAAACAGAAAGTATGAAAAGAAATGGTAATACTTGTACTTGAAGCCCGCACGATGTAATTGTAATGTGATTAAAAATTGTGATGGCCTAGATCTATACTTTCTTTCATGGCCGGGCCATGAACATCATCGCCATCGTTCAACATTAGTATGTAAACTCTTTTTTTTCAATGAAGGATGTTGTAGAGTTTGACGCGGCAAGTCGATTGGTCCTAGTCTCTCTTCTTCAGTGGTGGCTGGTTTGTACGAATTAAACATTTTGTACTAAGATTTATAATGTACTGCCCAATATAAAACATTTTTTGGTCTTATTCTTTCCTCTTCTTTTTTTCTTCTTTTCCAACTGTGAAAAAAAATCGTATATTTGATATAAAAAAACAATGATGAACGATGTCGAAGAAATGCAGTACATAATTCATTATCATTCATTGTGTACATGTAATCACTGGATATAGCAATACTCCGGAATACATGTACAAACGCTTACATTACAAAATAAGTCATGGTTAGTTTTTCCATGATCTTTTTGCCATTACCATTCTCAGTCAATGAACGGTGACTCTTTTAATGAGCACCCATCACGTTACCTATAATTATAATGAGCTCTCTCTCTCTCTCTCTCTCTCTCTCTCTCTCTCTCTCTCTCTCTCTCTCTCTCAGGGTTCCCGCGGCCTCCTTGAATTCAAGGTGTCTTTGAAAACGGCTTGAATTTGCATTCAAGTAAAAACCTCCTTGAAAACTCCTTGTATTTGCATTCAAGGAAAAATTTCCTTGAATTTTGCCAGATCGGACAGGAACACATGGTGACTGCCAGGCCCCGGGAATCCCGGGGGCCCATGAGTCCATCTTTGCCGGTCGCGATTGTGATATAATATTCATTCGGCTTTTCCCGGCCCGAGAGTACGTTACACACAGACATGCGGTTATTGCGGCAACAAGTGGAAGAGTATGTGCGATACCGAAGCTCGATCGGAAAAATCAAGATCTGCTGCTTTCGCTTTTGTTACCGCCCAGAAATTTGCCGGTAGGGCCTATAGTAGTCTGATCACGCCACATTTGTAACATGCAGGTTCTGGTTCTGTATTACAAACGCGGTGTCGTCATGAACATAAATCATTTGTCATGTGCTGTCGCTTGTGGAAAAAAAAAAAAAGAAAGAGAAAAAAAGAATACAAGCTTCTTGTCGGGCTCGCTATCGTGACCGGTCATTGAACCTGTGCGTTTTCGTCACATCGTGAGTATCGGCCATGGTTGAGGTCACCGAAGTTCATGCAAAGTCTGAGCGCTGCGAAGTATAGGACTCAGGAATGGGGGGATTATTGATTTTTTTTTTTTAAGACGCACGCAGGGGAGGGGGTTGGCGGGATGGGGTTGAAGGCAACACCGGATGACAAAAACTGAACTTGGAAGCAGATTTTACTTTCCAGAATTTTGATTGCTGTTTGATCTTAATCTAGATCTTGATCTCTCTGCAAAGCGCGTGTTGGTGCAGGCCTTGTGTGGAATCAGGACCTGTCTCACTCAAACGTTGTAAGCTGTGTTTTTTTTTTAACTAAAGGGTTCCCGTTTCATTGGGCAGGTGATAGTAAATTATATGTATTGTACTATATTCTTTTAGCTTGCTGATCAAGATTCGCAGATTTTCAGTGTCACTGCATCTTGCCCTCCCACAGTTAGTTCTTACACCTCTCACACTGAATAGGTCTACTTGAGCCATTCATGTTATTACTCTACTTTGAGTTTGAGCTATAATTTTTGTTTTTCACGTTTATTATATAAACTTTGACTCCCAAACTGGTTCTTGACGGTCGATATTCTGATTCTAGACCTTTTCTCAGGCTCAAAGCAAGATTCATTTTTATATAGTTTATATCTATATAGGCGAATATGATGAGGGGAAAATATTATAAATAAGTATAAGAACAGACTGAAACACCTAAATAACACAGTATCCCAGTGCCAACACTGACATGTTGTTGACTGGATATAATGTACCTACATGTGTGCGCACGCGCGTGTGTTTATATATTATAATATAAAATATAAATGGAGCATGCACTGTCATTGTTATGTAACGTGCCCCTGGAGAATGGATGAGCCCACCTGGAAAATTGAGAAGCCGGGTTGTCAGTCACCCTGGGAACAGTTTTTGTTGGAAATCGAAACTATGATATGATTCCTTTCCGGCAAGTGTAGGCCTATCGAAAATAGGCTTTCGTCGTGAATTTCTTGACCAAACCTCCTTGAATTAAAAAAATTTATCCTTGAAACCTCCTTGAATTTGATGGGAAGTTCATGGCAGGAACCCTGTTCTCTCTCTCTCTTTGTCTTTCTCTCTCTCTCTCTCTCTCTCTTTCTCTCTCTCTCTCTCTCTCTCTCTCTCTCTCTCTCTCTCTCTCTCTCTCTGGTCTAATTAAATAAGGTGCACCCTTATCAAAGGTAGACTCGACACGTTTAAAAAAGACAATCACAGATTATTAGATATGAGTACATGTAACCTCAGTATGCTCTATACATAACGTACGGTACAAAATATATTAGCTACCATAACTGAGGAAAAGGTAGAGGTAAACTTGAGCATTCTGTTCAGAACTTACTCCTAGACCCTGTACGCAAATTCGAGGTCAGCACTCTCACAACGGTCCGTCTCCGTCGGATTATGCGATTGTGCGGCCGTGGCCGTTCTTTTCGCTTCATTCTGCAACATTTGCATAATTTTGGATTCCCCGCGTTTTTTCACGTTTTTTTTTTTCATTTTTCACAAAACAATTTAACTGAACACCTCGCTGTGTGACTAAAGGGAAAGAATCAGAGTAATAGGCCGAAGTCTCATTTAAGTGAAAAGTTGTTTATTTCCCTTGTTAGAGATTTTTGTTCCTTGATCATGTTCAATTTTTCAATCCATCAAAATCAAAAGTAAAAGTTATTCTCATTTCTGCAGATGTTTCATGTTTGACAGGTGTTCCTGGTTTTAGTGATGTGCCAGCATCAGAGGTCCACATGTTATTTTATTTTTTTTGTGTGCAAAAATCATTTTTCTTTCCTCTATACAGCTGAAAGTTACAGAGATTATATTTTTTGTTTGTTTTTTTAAATGACTGATGTGTATCTTTCCAAATACACAAAAAAACTACTGATACTGGTATGTTCTGTTTTCAATTCTTCTGTACATAGATCTAAAACTTGAAAATTGTTGAAAAAGCGCGAAACATGTCGTGAATGGTGTTTCGGTAACTTGCATAATTTTGCATTTGTCTTGCATAATTTGGCCATCTAAATTTGCATAATTCTGCAGGGACAGAATGGGGCCACAGTAGGCTGGGTCGCCGTGGCGTCATTCACGAAATATTTTAAAGAATGAGAAGTCAAAATGCACTTTTACTATGACCCAGTAGCTTTCCGAAATAATCACCCGTTTCTCGGAATTTGGTACATTAGCAAGTAAGCCAATCAATAGTAACCTGGCTGTTTTCTTTGTTGTTGTGAATCTTGACAACTTTTATCCATGTGTATTATTGTGCAAATGTGTTATTACTGATAAATATACACGATAATGTCTACTCTAATTCTATAGTCTGTGCAATCTGTACACAATGTTTCTTTCTTTTAAAAATAATCAGAGAAAAGACGGAGTTGGCATAGACTCTACACTTCTACAATAACTGTCATTGACCTACATGTACTGATTATTAGCGTTCGGGAAAAGCAAGACTGACACTGACCGACAGAAATGGCAACAAAAAAAGGGGGGGGGGGGGGTTGTTTGTTTGTTTGGGTTTTTTTAGGAAAGAAAAATACATGAAAGAAGAAGAAGAAAAAGTGCCAACGCTAAAGAGATTACACATCGTAGTGAAAATGTTTGGAGACCTTAAATGAATGCACTGTTGGATCTACTTGTAGTTGTAGGCCTTCAGGTAGAACCCCTTCATAATAATTACTTGAGATGTGCTCTAAGGTATCGAATAAAGCGTCCTTCCGCTTATTAATTTTCAGGGTTTTCTTGCGCACACCCCCACCCCCACCCCACCCTTTCCTGCTCCTTATTCCATAGCTTGCCACGACCGACGATCATGTGAAACATTATATATCGAATCTAGTCTAGATATCTCTGAGTGAAACTTTTTTTGGGGGGTCAATTGCAAAT